GAAGAGAAGGAGGAGGAAGTGCAACATGCTGCACAAACATCCTCCCTGGGCTGGAGTTCAGTTTCATCCCAGCTCTGGTTTCTCCGCCATTCGATTATTCGCTTTTATCCGCATGCTTTTCACAGCGTTCCATTTTTATCGTCTATCTTCAAATGTTTGCTTTTGTTGTCAGTTGTCATCTTGTGAGATGCCAGTTCAATTTCAAAAACTGCTGTTTCTTTTCATCCAGGATGACAAACACAAACTTTATAGCCCAGGATCACAAAAAAACAAGGTCCACAGGAACGCATTGGGCCAGACCACCCCAGCAGCAGATTGGTTTTAATGTGATGTTTTTAATGTGATTTATGTGAGCTGGCTGCCAGACTCCTGTTCTCTTGTTGCTTTTATGACTGTTAGGACACAAGCAGGGCTAAGACCAGAGCCAGCAACTAGCTACCTCTGTCTACACTCTAACCACACACATTTACAGCACATGTATGCACAGGCATGTCCACACATCTACACTTTTTTACAGAAAGAGCAGGTTGTAACCTTACAGTATGTGCAAACCTGAATACAGGAGTGTGCGTCTGCTGCGGGCAATTTTACCTGAGGTAAAAATCTGCAATACATGGTTAAATTTCGCAATACATGGTTAAATTTCTATTTAAATTTTGGTTAAGTGCCACGTATTAAATGTGCACTGTACAATAGCAATTTTATCTCCAACTTCCTAGCTACAGCTTTAGCCAGACCATATAAAGAATCTAAGTTTTATTAAGACTTAGGATATAACAGAATCTAGATGTGAAAAGTAAAATGTGAGTGAATCTTAAAGGTATAGCTTGCTCTATGCAATAAAGTTGACTTCATGTCATCATTATCATCTCATTAAGTTGTTGTAACTAACATGTTATTATAGCCAACAGTTGTCTATGTGCACATCCAGTTAAATTAAATGCAGCATAAACGGATATCATCGTATTTATTCCACACATTTTTCTTCCTTAACAAAACCTGGGGCCTACATTACCCATAATGCCAACAGTCTGGTCAGGGACACGGATGTTTTATGCCATTGGCTGAAGCATCTTCGAGTTGCTACCCTCAAGCAGAGATGAGGAATAGGCTAAAGACCAACTTCGAATGATTTCACTCGAGGCAATTTGAGATTCCACACAGCTCCCTCTGTGGCCACAAAAGGCTGTGATGTGTACAACTGGTGGGGTTCCCCTTTAACCCTGTACATAGGGGGGATTACATAGAAGTAACTATGCTAGAAGTAATTCTTGGTGAATAACCAAAAGATAATGTGATCGTGCACAACTTCCTGAAGTCTTGTTGTCATAGTAGGGTTACCAGTTTTGAGAAATTGTGCCTGCACAGAGAAAAACAAATAAACTTTGCGCTCACCGACTGTAGCAAGCTGTGCTATAGCCAGCGAGTCTAAACCAATGTGCTGGGCAGACAACTCTTTCAGACATGCAAAATTTTTGCAAAATTTTCAACTTTAATTTATCTCCTGTTTCCCCCTAAATGTGTAAAAAAAACCAAAAGAATAATTTTAGATTTTTTTAAATATACAAAATGCTCTCTTTTCCCTCCCTGTAAAACTTTTTGATGGATCAAATGTGATTTTGGTTGCCAGCCAACATATAAAAACACACTTGACCGTTAGCTTGTGGGTAGCAGAGCAATATAGGCAGTGAATGTTTGGATTTCAGCTGGCAAAAACTTTATTTTCTAACCATGTGGTTGAAGTCTAATTCCTCCTGCTCCTGATCTAACAACACGGGTCAGATCAGGCAAACCATCATACAGCTCTGTATCAAGCTGTATTCGATAAGCCACTCCCACTTCTGAGTGATCCAATCACTCCAAATGTCCATCTTTGATTGAAATCCTTCTAGTTACAAAAACGTTCCCACTTATTCTGTTTCACCCAGGAATATGTCACATTACTGCACATTTACACTACTTCTGATTCTCTTGGTCAAGGTCTAGGTTGCACATTCAAATGCCGAGTCATAGCTGGGGTATGTAACTTTAGTCTGAAGTAGCACCTAGTGCCGTTTCTCTCCCTCTATCGCTCCCCCACCTTCTCATTTTTTACAGTGCAGTGTGTGGATGATTTGTGCGTTCAAGTTGGTGGTATAAATCAGAGGTGTCTGAGCGTGTGAACCAGCTCATTTGCTATCGGTAGCGAGAGGAAACAAACTAATGAGAGCTTGCAATACTTACTGACCTTCAAAAGAAGAGAGAGAGTGCAGTCAGTTGTATTTGAATGCAGCACATCTGAATGCATCATCTTACAATAACAGATTGGACAGGGAGGAGGAAGAAGAAACAAAGTTGAGGAGAAATCAGTAGATGTAGGAAAGGAGATAAAGTGGGAGGGATACATGATGCAAGATAAGATGAAGGTGAGGATGAGGAGGGGGAGCACTGGAAGATATAGCTCTCAAGCTGTGAAATATTACATGTTCAGAATGCCATATACCTCCGCCTGCTGTGGATACTTTTTCTGCCACCGGAATCACTAAACTATCAAGAGATCCATCAATAAAAAGGTTCTGCTGCATAAACTCCAGCGCTTACGGCTGACGTTCAATTCAAATTTCTAATTTAAGTAAAACTGGAACTGAAGTTCTCTGCATTATGGTAAACATAAAACTGATTTATTAGTATCTGGGATATAACTGCTAGATGGATAAAATTTTACTGTTTGGGCAATACTGAGTAAATTATAGCAAAATGGAATCAGGATTTAGTCAAAAAGTAAACCTATTAACTCTGCAGGAGATCAATTTATGTTTATCAAAGCTTGATTGAAATATAGTACCTGGATTTTGTTTTTGAAAGCTAATGAATCCAACAATAAATAAATATGATTGTATAAGCATATTACCATGCAACAACACAGACAATTGAGAGTTTAAATCAGTAAATGGTCCGTCTGTTTTACTCTATGTTACTGTTAGATTACTCTTTGGTAAAAATCACATTAATAGTGATGCATTCCTAAAAACAGTTAAACATTTTTGGAAATATGTTTATTTGTTCCCTCTAAGAGTGAGTTGATACCACTGTGCAGGGGGAAATAGCTGGCCTAGCTTTCTCCAAAGCTCAAAAATATGCCAACCAACAACTCTAAATTTATACAAACAAGTATAACTTGCTTGCATAATTCACACGACTGAAGAGTAAAACAAGTCTAAGAGCCATATTTTCGAAGCAGAACAACAATGCAATCATTGCTCTGACAGTTTGGTATTTTCCTGACCTAAAATTAGCCTTGAATATACTGCATTCATCTATGAATTAATGAGTGACTCCTCCAGTATCTGTATGAAAAGCTTCCCCTTCAGTTCATTAAATCCCTTCAACCCTCTGAAGGCATCAGGACACATATGCTGACAAATCTGCAGCTTCTGATTGGAGATGTGCTGCTACTGTACACTACTGTACACTGTCTTCACCTTCATTAAATCACCTGCAAATAACACCAGGATGCTACAGAATAGCCACACGCACCTTAAACACATCAGAGTGCTCTGTTACAGCTCTATTCTGCCGGTTTATATCAGATTACAGCAGCCATCAATCCTTTGCGTCAGCCTCCTTTGTAACGTTAATTCTTAAAATCACAGTGCAAACATTTGTCTCACATTATACAATATGATGTGACCATTTATGATGTGAATTAAAACTGAAACAGTGTTGGATTGATTCAATTGTACAAACGACTTCATCAATATTTTGTTTTATTTATTTCTATTGTCATTGTACTAATGAAATATGGAACAACAGGGATCATCAAGGTTGCTACAATTCACCCTAAATGTCTGAAACACATTTCATGGCAATCCATCCAACAGTTGTTGAGACATTTCACTCAAAATGGTGGCGCTACCAGAAAAGTCAGGTGATCATTAAAGTCAGTTGGCGTCACCATGGGCACCATGAATGTTTGCTGGAATTATTTCTAGACATATAACATATCATCCACCTGTCCAGTACTTGGTTTTGGTTTCTTTGGTCTGTATTGGCAAGCAAATATCACTATGACAACAAGACTGTTGTTCGCCAAGAAATAGCTAGCAGGCAATACCCTCTTAAGTCAAAATTGTTATTTAAACTTTTATACTTATGTACTGGTAAATCAAGCAAGATTTATCTTTATCTTTGTTAGTGAGCTTTAAAAGGTCCAGCATGTAAAATTTAGAGTACCATTTACAGAGAAATTGATTATTACTTTTATAGGTATGTTTTCATTCGTGTATNNTTTTGTTACCTTAGAATGAGCTGATTTTTACGGAGTGGGCCCACCATTTTAAATCACCATGTTTCTATAGTAGCCCAGAATGGTCAAACCAAACACTGGTTGTAGATAGGACCTTCGGGTGTTTTTGTGACTTCGTAGCCACTGCAGTTTTCTCCTTGTGCTTTAAGTCAAGGGCTGTTCAGTTGGTTGCAATCTGCAATCTCACCACTAGATGTCATTAAATCCTACACACTGGTCCTGTTGGACTGTTTTTCACATGAGACAGGCCATGTTTCTTCTCCCTTGCTTCCATCATCATTTTCATATTTTTTTAAATGCTGAACTATTCCTTTACCATCTTGAAAGAGGGCATTTCTCTTCTCATCTTTTATGTACTTTATTATGAGGGCCTTTTGCATAACAGACCCACTGAATATGAGGGAGTTTTCCCATGTCATATAACTATTTCACTTAATTCACAAGAGGTCCTTGAAGTACCCTTATAATTACTGTTCATCTATTTCTTATAAAGCTATGGTCTGAATATGTCTGTGTGAACAATGACTACTTGTTATGTATCAACATTGTAACAAGAAGTAAAAAAAATCCCCTGCCTGACTGCATTCTAGCATTAGACACGTGCTGTTGCTTTTTACTGCTTTGTGCATGTACATGTATTAATGAAGAAGCCACTCTGAACACTGAGCTTGAAGTCCTCATTCATCCAATAATGAGAAAATAAAATTTAACTGACCAGAAGACTCTGTCCTTGGTCACCCGCTCCTGAAGCAAAGTCCACTTGCGGCCCAGGTCTGCGGAAGCAAAGAGCTGGACACGGAAAGAAAAGAGCACAATTAGAAAGACAAACATACGCTCAAAGCTTGTAGCATTAAATTATAAAGCCTAACCTGAGCCCTATTACCAGCTGTATCCTTTACAATGGAGGATACATCGAGAGTCTATTCAGTCTAAACAAAAAGTTCACTCCATCAAGCTACTGAATTTCATGGTTCACCAACTTAAAACTAAGCTCAATTAATTATTAATCATAGCAGGTTGTGTGTGTGAATGTACGTGCACGCCCAATATTTTGTGAGCAGCGTGTTTTGCAGTTGTGTGTGCGTTGCCTGAGCTTCTATGGCATTGATTGCACCCATAATGAAAGTCTATCGATTCTTACCCACAAGGTATCCTTGATGTCTGAAAAGCACATTGAAGCAGAGAGGAGGATTTCACCACACAAACTTCCTCTACGATCCAAAAACACAAACACAGTTTTATGAAACTGTGCAACACGTTCTTAATGCTCGCCAGGTTTAGTTGTGGATGCAGTAAATTCTGCCCACATACTGTTCACAACAACCTTTCTCATTCAGGGTCATCAGGAGCTTACTCTCATTCCTAAAGCACATTCACAATGCACAATAGTGGCTGAGAAAGAAAAAAGCTACGGCTGACCTTGATAGAAATCTATCCCTGCCCCCACACACCTTCTTAATTTACACGTGCCACTCCGCGTCCTCCCATCATCCTCTAGCTAAATGATTTTTTTGTTCTGTTTGAATGGATTCCTCACTTCCATCTGCAGCCTGCCCATATGGAACAGATTAGAACCTAATTGAATTTCTTGTTTAATTATGTGTAAATTATTAAAGTTGAGGAGGAGTTGGAGCCGACTCAAACTTATGAACTATTGGACCTAATCTCCCGCCTCTATGTCTCTAGCTCCATTTCCACTTTATAGTACACTCTTCAATTAGGAAGCGTGCCTGTGTGTGTGTGTGTGGACGTGTTTAAATGCAGACCTGTCTTTGTGTTCAGAGTTGTTAAAATGCTGAATGACACAGATCAATTAGTGACTTGATTAAACTTATGATTGATTATATTAGACTTAAATACAGTGGAGTCTGTCAACTGACACAACATTGTCCTAGGCTGACATTGAAGTGAGGACTGTGAGGAAGTGGAGGGCCCAGGAGGAAGTGGGCCAGGCAGAATCACGATTGCGGCACAGTGTTTGGACCAGTGGCGGCTGGACGTGCAGAGCTAGGAAGCATTCCAAGAACTTGCTACGACAAAGCCAGAGGCAAAGATAGGCGTGGTTTGGTCCAACAGTAGTGCGAGTAGGAGTGCAGGAAGTTTTCTCCCGCAGGATTGTGCAAAGCAGCAGCAGGGCTTGTAGACCAGATTGAAGCAAGCTCTGGAAAAAAAATCTACTGTCTGGAGGCCTGGAAGGCAGAGCTGCTCAGGATCAAGTTTTTGATCCCTTGGGTGTACAATGTTCTTCTCAGTCCAACAACCCTGTATTGGAGTTGGCTGAAACTCCAGCACGCCCCCTGTGTCAGAGAAGAGGATCTCTTGAACACAGCCTCAGCTGTTTGCCCAAAGGCTCTGGGAGAGATGCTATCGCTGGTGTCACGCCGATTCCATCTGCACAGGGATCAACCAAGCCAACACCATTTCATCATTAAAGCAAGGGAAACCACAGGCTCAAGCAAGGCTGTCTGGTGGCTCGACCTTGGTTAGCAGCTCCCAGAAACCACTGCAGCGACCACACTAGGGCCAGACATCGTCCCAATGTCTAAAACTTTAAGACAAGTGGTCCTGCTGGAGCTAAGTGTTCCCAAGGAAGACAAGATGGAGGAGGCCTATCAGAGGGAGAGGACCAAGTATGAGGACCTGGTTGGCCAGAAGCAGGGATGGTGGGCGCAATATGGCTCTATTGAGGTAGGCTGCACAAGCTCATCAAAAACACCAACAAGGCTGTAGAGAAGGCGTTCAGACGGCTATGGATCAGGATGGGGGATCCAGTTACAAGGGCCCTGGCTGGGTCACCTTGGTGAGGGGGTACAATTGTTAAAAGCCCCAATGACCCCAGGTTACATCACTGATGATGTGTCAAGGTCCAAGTAAGATATATGTAATTACATTAAATACTGAATCCGATGGTTCATGTGAGGGAAAAACAGAGAAACAGAATGGGGGGATTTTGATAACATTGTTATTTTTTCTCTAAAAGAACAGAATAACAAGAAAGATAGTTATACAAAAATAACACACCTCATAGAAATACAAATGTAATTACATAAGGGAATAGATCAGACTACTTATGTACATATTTTTTATTTCTAAAGATATAAATAAGCTGTCCCATAAGGAATAATTAAAAAATTCTCACTGGAACAGAATCAAAGAGTAAACCAAACTTTTCTTCTACGCTAACAATAAACTATTGTATCTTACCTAAAACCTACAAACATATGCCTGATACTTTCGTTTTAATAGGAACAAAAACATGAATTCTTCACATGTGAAATGTCTGTGTAAGAGCCTGTGTTTTCAGTATTTAGTCCAATATGAGAATACTGTCATGTTTCATCCAATCCATCTTTTTCAAACAACTTATTTCACTGTCAGATTTATTGTGCCACCTTTGTGTGATTATCATAAACAAATGAGACACTACTGAAGATAATTAGTTGCTTCTGTTTCACACCGGTGGTCTTGTTAACGTTAGCATCTCCTAAAATTAAGATGACATTTCGTATAAGCTGTACTACTGACCCTCCCTCCCTCCCCTGGTGTAAAATGTTGGACTCAAAGAGTGATTTAAAGCAGTGGCTGTCAATTTTTTTGGCTTGCGGCTTGAAAGAATCAAGTATTTCCCAAGAAGAACAGAAACATTTTCTATTTTATCCCTTTAAACTAAGAGCCTTAAGATTTAACTTGGAAAGTTAAATGCAGTTTAATGGCTGGCAGATGTCTCATCTTCTGTCATGTTGACATGATGATGTATTATTGTCAACCTTTTACACAAGTGTAATCTCACCTAAAAGGTGAAAAATGTATAGCCTTTGATCAGCTTTTCTTCTACAGGGCTGTAGGCCTCACTGAATCATCTCAATGCCTTCAGGCAACAAGACATAAGTAACAGTGTGATGTCTCAGTCGTCATGTTTGCTCGGGATTTCCCATGTTAGCACTCAGGAAGCAATTAGCTCCACTTTGTGGCAGAAAGGGCTGGATGGAATTCAGCAGTATGACATGGAGAGCCGTGTAGCAGCTATCTATACAATTGTGTATGCAAGCTAATTAACTAGCATCTGAGAATCCTCCTTCACAGTATACGTGTTATTCAGCCTAACATTGAAGGGGAATTTTGCCACATTAGGGTGGATGTCCAATAACGGTTGATGGTAAATGTAACTTGACATTTACAAACTAGTTGTAGTGTTTAAATTATTATTTTTATCAAAATTTGAATCTCATTTTCATAGTTTTAGCCATCATTTCTATCCCTAAAATAACATGGAGACAAGACAATAACCAATATCAGACAGGTTTTAACAAACTATCTTCTATTTTATCTTACTCTTTTTAAATCCTATTTATCGTTTTTTGTATATTGACTTACGTTGCTTTAATATCTTGTCTTTATGCCTTGTCTTATATATAGCATTTTGAATTTCCTTGTTGTTTATATGTGCTATGCAAATACACTTGCACTGTCTTTAAGGAAGGAAAGTTAAAGTAAAAATGATTACCTAAACTGTCCATTGTTAACATCAAAGCTTACAGACCCACTTCTTGGTCCAACTTTGACTCCAAATAATGTGCACTTACAAAGTGTATTTGTTGCAGCAGATTCTTTTTCTCTTTCTAGTCAAAATATTTCAAAGAGCTTCCTACAGACAGCCAAGTGACATTGCGACATGTTTTCAATATGAAATGCTATATCAAAGGCCGTGTGTGCATTTGGATGTGGCCACTGTTCTGTTTATTTTACTTGCATAAGAAGATTTGCCCTACAGCTGTATTGTTGAATGATAAATCACACATCAAGTTTTCTCTGAGGTTCGTGTTCGGCTGGTGCGTGTGAAAATTGAAATTTAATGCATTGCTGCACTGACAGCAGAGACATCTTGCTGGTGTAACATCACTGCTGTCTTCTTGTTCTTTCGTTCAGCTACGGAATCAGCTATTTATTTTCATGTTTCTGCAGCCCTGTGATACCCACCCTGCCCTCCTTGCAGTAGGCCAGGAGCTTGTCTTCCTCCTTGGGGTGGAAGACGATAGTGTCCGGGGTGAAGGAGATGGACTGTCGCTGGAAGGAGGAACCTTCGTCTGTGCTGATAAACAGCATCTGATCCCTCTCGTTTATGGATGAACCCACCAGCACTACCTGAAAATCAGACAGACAGGGGAGGAGGAGAGGAGGAAGGGAAGGAGACAGAGGTCAGAGGTGAAACAGTCAAAGGGTAATATCCTGCGATGTATTCATAGCTCAGTCAGCAGTCTGTGGAAGACATAAAAAGGCTATCCTCCTCATGTCAATACTTGAGCATATTAATTCCCCTGCTTCCACTGGAAAATATAAACGCATGCATGGCCACGCAAGGACATTTATTCAAGGCCATTCTCTGGGCCATAAGAACTTTCCATCAACCTTACATGCTGCTTGGACCGAGGCGACACTGTATTGATTATCTATTCAGAGTTTTATAGCTCATAAAGTGAAGGCATTAAACACAGGGCACACCAGGACCCGCCAACCCACCAATCACAATTATGTCCAAAACACCCAAGAGTAAGACTACCAATAGGGTTGATCGATAGGAGCTAATGAACCGGTTGCATTCTTTACGAGTTTGTGAGAGGAGGGAAACTGTCCAGTGAGGGTTTTTAGGTGTTCATCATCCTCACAGTGATGTTTGCACCTGGTCTTCACAGAAAGTATTTCTTATAGTATAGAAACATTCACTCCTTTTTCTTCAGTCAACCAAATAATGAAAATCATTCACTGACAGCTGTTCTCCTTCAAAACATCTGTTTCATTCGGTTGCCAAGGTTTTAGATTAATGGATGCAAAGCATTAAAGAGACATAGAGTGTATAATAGAAAAGGAAAGTGCAGCTTGTAATGATTATTTAAAACATTAATTCTGCTTGTTTTGCATATACACAAAGAAGCACGCAGGTGAATAAGAATATTCACAGAATACTGGAGATGTTAAAGGCATACTATAAAGCAATGTATAGACTCATACACACATAATCCCATGGGACACGCATCAAACTTTGAGCAGCTGTCTCTGTCTATCTGTCTCCTCTGCTCCCTTTGCTGTCTGTGCCATAGATACATAGAGGGATGCAGGTCTGTGTGTCAGTGTCTGTTTGACTGAAGGCAGACAGGATGAAGCTACACTTCAGCTGCATGCACACATCAGAAATATGGCTCCATCCCGCAGGGTTGTGCAGAGCTGTGGCTGTGTTTATTTGAGCGTTAGACTGTAACTGGAGAGAAACACTGATTCTGAATCCTGATCAATACATGACTTCTCAAGGAACCATGAACTATGTCAAAGAACATCGAGTTTGCAGTTGTTTTTCAAGAGTGAAATAGCAACCACTGGTTGGGG